ATCTGTATTATCCTTCGTATGGTGCATACTATTTTCACTTGTAAATTGAGATTTATTGGATATGTCTTTTACATTATAAACTTAATTAAGAGAAGAACAAATAATATAAAAAGGTAGAGTATGAAGTAGAATTAAATACTATGCAATTATTGCCTCTTTCCCCAAATTCTGGAATCCTGCCGAGTATTGTGCTGTAATTCATTGTGACTAGAAATGATGCATGAGAGTCATCTCCCTTGGTAAAATAGGCTCTGTCTCAGATGTATGTGCACATAACCTAGTTTTTTCTGTGAGCTAAGTCCTGAGAGATTAAGGACATCTGCTGCATGCTACACAGACAAAACATGCTGGCATTCTATTATGAGTATGTGGAAACACATTTTCATAAAGGTAAAGACCCACAGATATTAATTAACAAAGATGTGAGCAGAACTGATTATTTATTTTTTATAAGTTTATTTTTAATTTTCTGAATTTTTTTATTGCAAATCAAACAGAACTTCTTGTGGGCTTCATTGTTTTACAGAATGTTCATTTACAATTATGGTCAAATTGTCTGCATAAAAAATGAAAGACAAAGGTAACTTTGTGAAGTTAACAATTTTGGCTACTAGGGTAGGTTCATAAACACAAAGATAATTTAAAAACTGAGTCCTAAATTATTTAATATTGCAACTAAACATAATTTCTGGGCTTTGGACCAAGAGAGAGAGAGAAAGATATATAGAGAGAGAACATAAAGAATCAGTAATGTGTATTTCACGGTGAAATAAGTCTGTTTTGTTTTATAATCACATTTAAATTATTTAGTTAACAAAAATTTTGGATTAATGTTTCATGCTTCTCCCTATAAATTATTTCACTTTAGCAGTCCCTTAGTTAGACTGTTTAGATGTACATTCAAGGTGTAATTTCCCACAAGAGGGGAAAAATTAAAGCTGAAGAACATATGTCTGGTGAAAAAAAACCAAATGCAGCATTTCTGGGAAAATACGTTTTTTTTTTTTGCATATCCATGGTGAGTCCTGGGTGTTGCGTGGCTTACTGTTTGCCTCCCTCAAGCATCCAAGCTGTTTGGAGATACTCTGCTCCTGCAATGGTAATTTTATACATCCTCAGGATATATGGGGGCGCTCAGAAAATATTCTAATTTATGTTTTGGTTTTTTGTGTGTAATCATTGGATTTTTTAAGATATGTATGTGTGTGTGTGTGTGTGTGTGTGTATATATATATATATATATATATATATATATATCACAATAGACTAAGTTAGCCTCTAATGGCCTATTTCTCAATGAAAAAAATAAGAAAATGTCTGAGGTCTCTTATTGCCATACCAATAATGATATATATATATAGGGATAGCTGGAGTGCAAAATTGTTTGGTATTGTGTATATATATATATATATCAATATTGGTTCTCATGTACTCTTTTTTTGTTGAGATATATCAGATTGTCCTTAATCCAAACCATTCTCTGGTGTTTCCGGTAATTTTTGTTTATTGCTATTTTATGTTGATATATGGCTGTTCAAACGCATAGGGATTAACAGTATTAACTTGTACCATATACCGAGATTAATCATCAGAATGTTTCAGCAGTTCTACCTTATAGGAAGTATTTACAGCATAATTGCGTTACTGGCTAACAAAATATACACCTTTGTATACATACTTACTTGTTACAGAGCTCAGACACTGATATAGCAAAGCTGAACATGTTGGATCCTTATAAATAGTTACCATACATATAATAATATAGGTCCCATCTTTACACATTTCCCCTCTCTTGTTTCTTACTACCTATTATTTTATTTATTTATTGCAAGCATTTTTGAAGCACCAACATATTCTACAGTGCTGTACGACTGGGAAAAATAATCATTACTCTATTCACAGTGAAATACAAAAGGTTAAGAGGGCCCTGCCTGCGAGCTGAGATCTAGCCATTGAAGTTGTTTTATACATAGTGCCTAGTTAGATAGCCCATGAACTTACAATCTAAATGATATGATGGGAATTTGAGACAAGAGGTAACGGGGGAATTTACAGGGGATTGTCAGAGAAAATTAAAGGAAAGTAGCAGGGAGAAAAGCAATGAAGAGTCTGAGGTTTTTTTTCTTATTGTAAGGCTATCTGTCCGTCTGTTTATCCATCCATCCATCTATGAAATTGCTTAAGCAAATACAACAAATGGAAAATGGCCTTTGTTTTACTATAAACGGTGGTGTTATGTTTTAATCATCTTTCATTTATTTAAGAGAAAATAAAATCTAAGAAAAAGAGAAACATTAATCAGACTAACATACTGTTATACACAAGCAATTATCATATTAAGCATTACTGGTACTCTATCTTCTACCACTGACTCTTTTACAATATAGTGTGAGAACAGGGGTTAGATGGCCATCCTATTTTACCATTCATAAACGTTAAATCCCTCTGTACAAGATATTATTAGTATGTAGTACCCCATTTTGACCACTGAGTGAAGACAGACTCCATAATTGCACTACGGTAAGTTATATTCCAAAATGTGGGTACACTTTTTGCTATGTATACAATGCAGTTCCTATTGTAATTTTTGTTCATTATAAGTACTAAATCCTTCACCACTATTTAATTTGCTTCTGTAGAATAACCTTATTAGTAAGATGCAGTATTGCATTGTGGCTACTGGGTGAAGACAAACTCTAATAACGGCAATAGGGTGAGCTATGGTAATTCAACATGTTGGTATAATATTTATATAGGAGTGTTATTTCTTATGCCATATGTAGATAGGTAGAACAATACCTATATTCCGTCATATGTTTCACCATTTTATATATATATATATATATATATATATATATATATAGTTCCTAGCTGTTCCTAGAACTGAACTCTTCTGGACAGATGATATATGTATCATCTGTCCAGAAGACTTCAGTTCTAGGAACAGCTAAGATACTGCACAGCAAAACCCAAAGACTCCCAGGCCTCTGGTACCCAAGGACCCGAGAATGAGGAATAAATACACCACCCACGAGGGATGAGAATTTTTTTTTTTTTTTATATTATATTCATATAACAAGTATATGCAATTTATTATCTAAAACTTCAACTCACTCTAATTGTGAAATGAGAGTCTAAAATGTCATATCTGCCTCCTTCAGATAGGTTGAGGGAAAGTGGACGGTAATAGTGTAATAGTGTCTGTCACACCTTAAATCTCATTGGAAAGCCTGTAGAAAAGTAATGCTGAATCTACTTCCTAGGTACTATTACCCACCCATTTCACATCCACCTCTTTGTATTGGGAAGGAAGGTGGATATAACCATTTAGACACATCCCCTGCCAAGTACCTTGGCATTATGCACACTCATTGGTTATGTCCACATGAACACATCATCTTGCTAAGACTCTGGGAATTAATTATACACACTGGTTAGCAAGCTTCCATGAGTAGGACCTTAAATCATTTGACAGGGCAGGAAGACAAGATTTAACTTTAACAAACATTAAATAAATAAAAAGCAATTAATTCAAAAACATAAAAAAAAACATTGCACCTTGAAAGTGTTAGACATGGTAAAATCCTTTTGAATTCATGTTAATTCCAGATTGTAACATTCAAGCTATGGAAACATCCATGAGAGGTAGCAAGTAATAAACTGGCATTCCAATCTGGTAATGACACAATTTAATGCATTATATCCATATTGTAAATAACACACAAAAAAAGTGCAAAAAGGGAGTTTGCCATGTCGAGTGCGCAGACATAAATAGAGCCTTTTAAACATTCCTGACAAGTTAGCTGATTTAGATGCATAAGGCCTATAAGTTGAAGTACATGTGATATGCCACTTTCATCGAACTATTGGATGTACATGGGTAGGGCAATAGCAGACCACGTTGAAACATTTCTGAGTGCAATATTATCTACATTCCTTCTAGTTATTACCTGTACCACAATAGCATATTGAGTTCAAAGAATGTACTTGAAAGTCCTGGGCTTCTTAATTCTCTTTTGGGTCCGGTGGTTTGGTTCCTGAAATATTCCAGAAATCTGCAGCAATTGAGGTTCATTATTTAAAATGTATCCACAAACACCAGTTGGGTATTTGATAACGTGGAGAACCGAACTGGATTATTGTGTTAGGCATGGGATATGAATTGAGCACAATGTCTCTATAACAAAGGTGGCAGACAATTGAAAACTGAAGAGAGTGGCAGGGCCATCCATATAGAATAGTCTGTAAGATTTTTTTGTAGACAAACACAACACATATATCTATAATTAGAAAGACTGGATTTTGTTTGAAGTGCCTCCACACATTAATACTACATTTGGGCCCTAGGAATAAACATCCTACATAGATGTAAGCCTCAACCAGATATGTAGCAATTCAGTTCTGTAATGCACGTGCATTTTCCTGAAATATTAATAGACATAACAAACATCATGCATATGGTAAGTACATTATTATTATTACTATTATTATATTATTTTACGATACAATGCATTTGAAAATATGACTTTTGTGTTAACTTTTATCTTAATTTAATGTTTAGCTATTTATTAAACTTTGTCATATTCTATTCAAGTTACTGTGTGTGTGGCTTCCCTCCATGGCAAGATAAATATACAATTAAAAAACAAAACAAAACAGATTTCAAAAATGTTCACTATTCATATTTTATCACATATGCAGTATAGTACCTATGGATGTTTAATTCATAGGTACTACATGTGCTTTTATATATTTTGTTCAGAAAAGTTAAGAATGCAGACGTCGAGGAGCTATCCCCCAAATATGGATCAATTCTAGAAAGGGACAACTTTGGTAGCAAGAAGAACATAGCTACTGATCAAATAATAGAGTGCAAAATTAAAAAAAAGAAAACACTTTATTAAGGTAAGGGTTATACATAGTGATGTCCCGAACGGTTCGCCATGAACGGTTCGCCACGGACTCATCGTTGAGTAAACTTTGACCCTGTACCTCACAGTCAGCAGACACATTCCAGCCAATCAGCAGCAGACCCTCCCTCCCAGACCCTCTCACGTCCTGAACAGCATCCATTTTACATTCATTGTGAAGCTGCATTCTTAGTGAGCTGTCCAGGAGGTGGGAGGGTCTGGGAGGGAGGGTCTGCTGCTGATTGGCTGGAATGTGTCTGCTGACTATGAGGTACAGGGTCAAAGTTTACTCAATGATGAGTCCGTGGCAAACTGTTCGTGGCAAACCGTTCGGGACATCACTAGTTATACAGCAAAGGAATTGTAAAAACCTGATAGAAAATATTGCATCGAATGGATTATTTTAGATTTAAAGAAGATTTATAACATATGTCATTTAAAAATTCATAATTATACAGACATCATGCAGGAAAGAATAGAATGTGGAGACTGGTACAATGTGTCAATAGCTCATGAATATGCGCAGAGTTAGTTGCATGGGTTTTCTAAATGTTGCAGAGAGTGGATACTCTTTAGCTGAATGGGTATTTATGATGATGGAACTGATTATTTGCTTTTAAATGCCTAAAAGTTGAGGGGCTAGGACTTTTAGTTTTAATTTCTCAAGTGAGAGATCTTTTTGTGGAAAGTGAAAAACCTGTCAGACAAGTAGCAAATATGTTCTCTTCACATTTAGAGAACTTAGAGTCCAATATCTTGAATATGAATAAAGATGGAATTAATATGGTACAAATTATGGGGTGTGTGGGATTAAAGGTGAATAAATGGGAGACACTAATAAGGGAGGATTTCAATGTGATTAGGTAAAGATTTTTAAAAGCTGTACCATAACAAATTAATTTCTTCATGTTCCTTTTACTAAAGTGGATTGGATTTACAGCATGAGATAACATCAAACAAGGTCGTGTATGAAACTGGCTATGCAGGAGAATTTTAACAGGAACAACAAGTCACAGATGCCTGGAAGGTAAATATGGCTCAATGTGATGAAAGTAGGGGTGGGAAAGAAAATCGATGGCTTGACAAAACTTTGGTTGTAGAAACAAATTTAAAAGTACATACCACAGGTAGTGAGTATGTAGATTCCCTGACAAAGTCTTTATAACTCCAGACTAGACCAAAGGAAGGCTGCCAGATTACTCAATTCGTATTATTACCGGCATGATATACTTCTTCAGGAAAGAGCACTTGGTGGAGGGTTCCATCATTACAACAAATAGATAAACCTACTGAGAAGAATGTGTGAAAGAAATCCACTAGGGACTGATGCACACATAGGTAAGGAATAAGGTAAATATTGGACACACAGAAACACAATAGGGTGATAAGTCAGGGACGTATTTGCCGCCAGGCAAACAAGGCATTTGTCTGGGCGGCATTTCCAAATGCCCAGCCAAATACCTTGTTAGGCTGGTGGCATTCGGCTAACTAAAAATCCAGGCGGGCGCGGTGCCGGCGAGGGAGCACTGATTAGTGAGCTTTCTGCTCAGCTCTCACGCGCACCACAGAGTGATGCCGGGAGCTGGAATATGACGTTATATTCCGGCTCCCGGCATCACTCTGTGGCATGCGAGGGAGCTGAGCAGAGACAGCTCACAAATCAGTGTTCCTTCGCCAGCGCCGAGTGGCTGGATTACAATTAGCCGCCCAAGTGCCTGCATTCCTGCCTCCCTCCCTGCAAGAAGACCCACTGTACCCCAGATAAGAAAAAATGGGTTGGGTGTGTTTAAACTAAAATAGAAAAAGTAATCTTTATTAACTAAAGTTGGGTTGGGTTTTTTTTTGTGTCTGGCTGTCAGTGTGTGTATGTCTGTCACTGTGTGTCTTGCTGTTACTGTGTGTATGTTAGTGTGTGTCTGGCTGTCAGTGTGTGTGTGTCTGAGTGATTGTGTGTCTGGCTGTCAGTGTGTGTATGTCAGTGTGTGTCTGGCTGTCAGTGTGTGTCTGAGTGATTGTGTGTGTCTTGCTGTCAGTGTGTGTATGTCAGTGTGTGTCTGGCTGTCAGTGTGTGTCTGAGTGATTGTGTGTGTCTGGCTGTCAGTGTCTGGTAATTGTGTGCGTCTGGCTGGCAGTGTGTATATGTCTGTCAGTGTGTATCTGAGTGATTGTGTGTATATCTGTCACTGTGTGGCTGTCTGTCAGTTAGTGTGTGTGTCTGTCAGTGAATGTGTTTGTTTCTGAATGATTGTGTCAGTGAGGGCACCTGTGTGTCTGAGTGATTGTGTGTGTCTGTCTGTCAGTGTGTGTCTGTGAGTGAGTGTCTGTCAGTGAATTTGTGAGTGTCTGTCAGTGAATGTGAGTCTGCATCATTGTGTGTGTATGTCAGTGATTGTGTGTATGTCAGTGAGTCAGTGATTGTTTGTGTCAAATCCTTGTATGTCAGTGTATCTGAGTGTGTGTCTGTCAGTCAAGGTGTGTGTTAGTCGTTTAACAGGAAGAGGTGTGGCATTGACAGGAAGGGGGATGCCCACGTTCCATCATGCCTAGGGCAGCACAGATACTAAATACATCACTGTGATAAATGTATACCTTTTTCCATCCTTCTAGAACAAGTTTTGTTCCCCTGCTAAAGAAGAGTTATAGGAACCTGCCAAATGAACCACAGTGCATATTCATTCTTGCTGAATAGCTTTACGACATGCAACTATGATGGCATGGGAAAGAGAAAATGCAGCCTGGTTCGTCACTATTGGCATACTAGTCTGTTTATAGCATAGTCAAATGGCTCTATACAAATGAAAGTTGACTACCTGGAGATGATTTATGTAGCATCTTCACTAACCACTGCAGTCATGGGTACAGTCATAATTAAATAGCTATGTATTATGAGTCTCAGTGCTGCTCTCAAACAGTGAACATTAGACATGCAACCATGCCTTCTTTAAAACGCAGGATCTCTGGCTATAAAGCATCCATGATGGGCACAATAGTGTTTAAGGTGGAACATTTTCTTTTAAATAATACCAGGGTCAGATCAGACTGGTAATAAATGATCTCACAACATATGGAGTGAGTTTGTCTCTGTCTCTGCACCGGTAACACCAATGGCATGACACACCTCCTCAGTTATGTGTGGGCAATAAATATATATATATATATATATATATATATATATATATATAGACAGACACACACGCACGCATGCACACTCTCTCTCTCTCTCAATCAGACTATACAGATGGACTTAAAGGAATTCTACAGTGCAAGGAATACAAAGTTGTATTTCTTACACTACCGTTCCCTTTGCTCCCCTCCCTTGAGCCTCTTTGCATGCTTACCCAATTCCAACACCGATCTCCTCTGGTGCTGGGCTAGCACTCTGCCTCCCCCAACGTAATGCAATGGGGAGAGGGTGCTAATGTGCATCAGGCCTTCCCTATAGGAAAGCATTGCTTCAATTCAGAGCATAAGAATGTCCAGCATCAGTTAGGTGGCCAAAAGTCAGTTAACCAAAAGGAAACCATTAGTCTTAGTCCTGCAATTATCTAAAACTGCAATGATTTACATTACAGTACAAAGGGACAATGAGCTGAAGTGGTCTAGGGTGCCAATACTGTCCCTTTAAACTCAAAAGGAATTAATGACATAGACTCTCTCTCTCAATAGTGCTTTTTCATATTGATGTATCTTTCCTGAGATGTTGTGTATTAGTTAATTCCTTCTGTAAGTAATCCTTGCTCTTGACTGGTATGAAAAATACTGGTTTGTAAAAAGAAAAGAAGGCTCCTTATTGGTTCCCACAGGTATGGGATATAATTTATAATTTGTTAAGATGTTCCATGTTTAACACTCACATGGCTCACAGATTTTGCATCCGGAATATTATTAACAACATGCTTTTATAGTATTTATTGAAAGCTTCAGATTCTGAATGAACCACAGATATTATACAAAAATGTAACCATACCACAAAAAAATGAACCTCCTTATATTTCAATAAACACACTTATGAATTACAGAATTGAACTGTACCTTTAGATATACTGGATGCTGATATATTGGATCGTTGTTTTAAATGTCTCTAAGAAAACTTTCAGCAGGAAATCTACAATGTATTTAACATTGAAGGATGGGCGATGTCTGAAAAGAGGAAAAAGATTGATCCAACATCATAAACTGAGCAGGTGATCAGTAGAATGAATGAAACACACATGACAGAAGAGCTCTTTTCGCAAGGTTACAGAAGAGAAGTGCTAATGGTCTGGTCCTCATGGATAGGAAATTATTCCTGGGAAGGAATTGATTGATATCACACATTATTCTGATGTGAGCATTATATACTTTTTATTTTATATTTTTTCTGACATTCCTCAGCTTGTGTATTTATTATGTCATATTATTATTATTATTATTATAAAAACCTGCAGATCCTGTTTATCCTGAGGTGGTAACAACACTTTGCATATCAGTATAAGTTAGTTGTTTAATGACCTTTATTATGGTTCATTGTTAAAAATAATGTAGCATTGGAACATTTTATTTTAATTGTTTTCTGCTATTTAATTTATCACATTCAATAGAATTCATAACCTTATCTGAATTGTATTAAAACAGAATACTTAAACGATATGATTCCGGAAAAAAATGTTGAAGTATATGCATATATTAGGAAAATATAAGGGGTGAATTTTAAAGCAAACACGATAATAATAATAGTAATAATAATAATAATAATTCATGTGCGTTACTTTAGTGATTTTCAGTAACAGGTAAAGGAGTAGCTTACATCTCAAGGTATCATGTGTAGGGTTTTACAATCCCCACCACATGGAAGTATATTAATCACTTTTTTTTAGTAGCATATATTGTATAAACCCAATGAAGTGCTCACTGTAATAAGGAACATGCAAAGATGTTGAAGCCGTCCTAACATTTATTTGAGCAGTCGAACCAGTCAATGGTTTCAGAGTAGGTGGTACAATCCCACCAAGGACCAGGTGTTTAGACTTCACAGGAAAGTGCTTCACAAGAAGTAACAGGGATGAAGGCCATGTTAGAATAGCAGGTCACATAATCTGCGGTGGCCATATCAGAAGAGGGCAAAGAAGGTAAAAAAATCTGTCTGAATAAACTGATCTAATATTAAAAAAAACAAAACAAAAACAAAGGCAGATGAAACAAGGATAAAATAGTTGAAACAAGGATACAATAGTTATGGTTATTAGAACACAGTAAAAATTTAATTAAAGGTAAAAAAACATAA